AATAACTGAAAACGCAAATTTGCGTTTTTCTTGCTTATAGTTAAACGTAAACCAGAGATTTATTTCGTTATAAGGAAAATTTTAAATTAACTATGATATACAGTGCAAATAAAATGTTTCCATGTAATACAAGTGTGTTAAGGATCATTTATTGCAGCCCTCTCTTTTAACTTCAACTTCCTTGCTTTTCCAAAAATCATTCTTTCGTGCAGGAAAATCGACGATAGTCAATTAGTAAAGTAATCGGTGTCTGCAATTAGCCACCAGAAAACACATGACAATGAAATTACGGTATCTCTCGACGTTGAGTCGCTCTTCACTAATGAAGAGCCACTAGGTTGCTAAGTTGATCCAAGTTGTGGTATATGCCGCTTAATTACTCAAACTGAAAACCGTCTGTTCTTGACTGGACGACCGTCGGAAGACATACACCTGCCTTGAATATCTAAATTTGAGGCAACTTTTTTCTGCAGCAATACCCGTTTAGACGGAATTACATAGGCAGAACGTTATGTTTCAAATAGAATATTTCTTACGCTTCTTTGGTGCTAAAGTTATTAAGGGTAAATAGAAAAATTAGTGAACCTGACAAGTAGTGATTTTCTTTCTTTTGGATGGCATATCGCTGGTAATCACTGGAAAGCTTCCCGTAAGTCACAATGGAGCGTCCTTTTCGGAGAGTAGGCTAATACTCATTCTCCACTCTACTCGGCTGTAAACCGTTGTTTTTTTGGTCAGTTTTTATTCGTATGTACATAGTCACCTTTCTCCGATATTTTACTTTACTTTTATTTCATCTTCAGTGGGCTTCCTGTAAAGTAGGTTGAAGCTAAGTAGGGTAACACTTTCAAAAAGATAACGTATTTCTTAACTTCTTGGTTCAAAGTATCAACGGATGATTGTTTCGCTTGGCCAAGTGATGTCTAATCGCGTAAGTAAACACCTCAGTGGATGCTCTCGGGCTGAAAGGAAAACTCTCTTCCGTTTATATCCTTACTTAAAACAAATTGACTAATAACCACATATAGATGTTGAAATAATTGAGAAATTCGTGCGTAAAGATTAGCTGCTTTTGGTGAATATAATGTGGATGGGGAGGGAGGGGGGTTTCTTGTGAACTTAATACACGATTCCGATGAGTTCAGAAGTACTCAGCGCGCGAGACTGTAGCAACACCCGCTCGAGGGAGCTTCTCTCTAGTTGAACGCTCGCCGTCTAGGCTGGCGCTGTTTTTAGAAGAAACGAGAAGTTTGAATACAGCACGAAGACAAGGAAAAACAAGTTCAGAATCGTAGTCGCTCGATACATCATAACCGCGCACTATGAGGAATTTCGAGTTTATTCTGCAGCCAGTTAGTGCGCATATTTGTGGTTAAATTGCCAACGATTCAATATTTTGATATTCACACAGCATTCTACACCCACATAACGACTGTTTAAAAAGCAACAAGAACAAAGGCGGTGACAGACGCTGAAAACGTCATTCATCTTCCAAATATCGACGCGAGTGTATCCAAAAAGCTTTCAAAGGAAAGACGATTCGAATATTAAGTTTGAAGTCCATACAATGTTGGAAAAAGTGTAAGGGGGGTCATTGATTGACGCACAAAAAGGGCTTATTATAGTCTGGCCAGCATTTTGGTCTGCCAATGAGATTCTGGACTTTTCTAGAGCTGACAAGATTTTACGTTGAATGATAAGTAAGGTGATATTGGCGGGTTTTTTTTCCACTGACCAATATATAACCTTAGAAACCGTTTTGTTTAACTTGAGAGACCCTTGCATACAAAAACTCATCACATCGAATTTTTTCCAAACCATATCCGACTGTGAACAACAGGGAACTCCGCAAACGGACCGCCCTTTCAATTAACAAGAGCAGATATGCCACATCTGATCCTTTCCGGGATTTTAAATACACCTCAATTCATTTCCCGTCCATGTTTTGTTGGTTATGTGGTATTTCCTGTTTTTGCTCATAAAAAGCTGCCAACTATTAGAACCGGTAAAATAATAAGCCATCAAATAGTTTCGAGAGAAATTCACAAAATGTGATTGTTAGTAAAACTTTCATAGACTAGGTTTAGTGGCTGCGAGAGCCGAGGGCGAGTGCTAATCATCTCTGTTTATGAAAAAGTTAGGGAGTGGGTCCCGGCTTATTACAAATTGCACTCAAAATCATTTGATCATCAGTCAATAGAAGACATTTGATTTTGTATTTTTACCCTAAATTTGATCTTCTGCACATTTAGGATTGACCGAAATAACCTCAGCCAATGGGCGTGTGCAAATTTTTGGATTTCTGTCATTGTGGTCGATCGACAATGAAACCTCGACTATGTAAATAACGGTGAAGAATACGGAAAGAGGTGGCTATGCGTCCTAGCAACATCTTAGCTCAATTTGTCTTTCCATTTTCATAGGAAGAAAACGCAAGGCCAGTCATTTCTATTCGCGTCTTGACTTTGTTTTCTTTGTGTTTAAAAAACTGAACCCTTCCTTTTCAAGAACTGGAGGCAAGAAACAATCCTTTGCTTGCGGCGATGCTGAGACTGAGGGCCGAGAATTTGGTGTTTATATCCCACAATAGATAATTTTCCGAGCCTTGTTACCTCCTTTGAGAGAATTTAGGTACTGATCACTTCTAGGATTGATAGGGTTGAATACAGTTTCCAGTTAATGGGATATTTCAGAGCCCAATATGGGGTTTTTATAATTGTTACCGGTTAGCTTGTACTACAATTATCGCAACCCAACAAAAAATCACATGTACTGAATTACTTGTTTCAGTGACGTACAAGTAACTTTTTAATCCATTAACTACGTTCAATTCTTTGCTCATTCAAACAAATTGAGCCATTCTAGAAACTGCATGAAAAACAAATCATTCGTCAACAAACCCTTAATGTGTATTTTTCTAAGGTGTTTGCTACACTTCGAAAGCAAGGACTGTAACCGACTAAGAATTAAAACGTTCTATGTAACAACGAGCCTTAGACTGAGGTCATTTGCAGTTAATTTTCGTATTCTTTGTTTTTGTTCAGTCTAACCGAGTAAAGACCATAAGGACCCCTCCAGTGAAACGCCAGCAAACTAAACCAGTTCAGTTTCAATACTTAACGCTCTGTTCTTCTAGTTAAATAGTTTAAAATTTTCGATGTGTTCGTAAGGAAGGAGTTTTTATTCCCAAGACCTCTACAGTCTGCAAAGAACAGCTCCGTAAGTGGAACCGATATGACTCAAGGAAGGAAACAAAACGCTTCTTAATAATCACACATCAAAATATCTGTATATTGGTCGTTTACAGGTTTATTTTGAACACGATTGCGTCACGGTGAGAGAAATGATAAAGAATATTTTATTTAAGAGCCGCTAGATTGAAAAGCTCACGGCAAAACTCGCCACTTAAGGGCGAATTTTAACATATTCTGAGTTTAACTGTGAGATAACGACATCAAGGACTATCTAGTTTAAACGGTTGGCTTCGGGTCGAAAATTTGTCAGAAAATTTCGGTCTCAATTTCAAGCCTATACGATTTGAAACGATGATCTTCTTCAACCAATATCTATCTTAATTAAGTGAATGCAGCCTCACGACGGTTGTGGAATTAAGCGTTTAACGAGACTTGGTGATGAATAGGGTAACTTTTGAGACACAAGGCATGGCAACGCAAACTGAAAATGAGGTCCACGGTTTACCGTGTCCCACAAGATAGTGTATCATTTTATTGGCCCTTAAATCATAATACTGGTATGCAAAATGTCTCGCTTAATGTAACATTCAATTGTATTTCGGCTACGTATCTCTAATCCCACGGCCGGCGATTCGTGAATATGCATTATGGATCTATCCTTTAATTTTGTGAATTACCCTTTTGTTCTCCTACTCAAAATCACTCGAGTGCTGGCCTTTGGGATGTTTGTGAGAAAATTAGCCCGTTTATATCTTCTCACGTGTACAGGTTGTAACCATGTTGTCATTTGCTCTTGGCGAGAAAAATTTCCTTAAATTGGCGATCTATTGTGTTAAAACACTACCTAGTAGACAACTTGCCTGACATGCTACAGACTTGCTAAATTTGCTAGTGACATTTGTTTAGCTTATTGCAGGGCCTTGAATGAATGCTCAAACAATTTGCGTCAAGCTCTCAAGACGCACGTTCCAACAGCTAATGAACTACCTTAGAATCGTATCCTCTCGACGATCGAAAAAGTTATCGAAAACATTATGTTCCCCGATAACCATCGCTTAAATACTCCGTAACGCCACTACCAAGCATTTTGAAATATTCCGTTTATCGTGATTCAACCAATGAACACTGAACTGATTGAAACATTCAAAATTTATCCAGCTCTTTAAGATATTTTAGGCGATCGCACCTCGCATGTTTGCCGTTTTCATTCTTTTGACTTAAGACCGCAGGAGTGGATTTCTCGCCGTTTCGTGTTCAGCTTGCGTAAATGGAATGTGTTTGTTCAAGTGGTGTGCAAGCGGTTCATTTGATGGATGGCTCTATAATTATGTGAAGTTCTTTACAAAATCTCATTTATGTATTATTCCGGCCGGAAAACATCCCTTACACTCTCCTTGTTTCGGGTTGTATTGTAAGGGACTTTTCAGCGCAGAGAAAAGAAAACAATACGCCCAGAGTAAGAGTTTTCACAAGGTGAAGAAAACCTTTAGAGTACACTATCTCTCTATCTAAACGCGTGCGTGTCGAAGCTTACCCCAGCTGTTTGCACAGGCAAATAAAATTAACATCTGCACACTCAATTGGCTCGCTTTACACGTCTCATTTCATATCAATTATTCTGCTGTCAATCACTTTTTGGGAAGGTTGAAATCGGAGCGATATGGATGAATTGGAGTAAATACGACAAATTTTATTTGGGTTGTATCCCGCGGCTTAGGTCCTTGTCAATTTACCGACACATGGTATAAGTGACCAATCACATCGCAGGCTATTGTTGTTGTGACGTTCGTGGGTGGTCAGTTTCATGTCGTGAAAGTGGCATTCAATTTCAACCGAGTGAGGTTGATGGTTTCCTCTTTGACGCTTTAAGAAAACTTTGCGTGGAGGTGTACCTATTCTGTTACCGACACCCTACTAAGTAAAGGAAGCTTTTCACCGTGGATGAATCTGCGGGGTTTTTAGTGGCACATCATAGAAAATCTCCTTTAGTAGAGACTGTGGTGGGAAATGTAAAAGCACCGCGGATTTCAATCAAATATGGCGTCTATTAATATTATGAATGCTTTGATTGCAATATGTTTGGCCTTATGTGGATTGTCGCTGGGACAAGATCAAAATGGCCAAGAATGTGTAACAGCCAAGCCCTGCATTTGTTCTGGAACAAGAGTTATCTGCAAGAGTCGTCAACTTCGCTCAATACCTGAGGGGATTCCTTTGCAAACGACCTCATTGTGAGTAAAACGGTTTCTTGGTTCTAGCTAGTTTATGTCCTGTCTTTTGTTGAGTTGTAAGCGTACTCGTCGGCGATTTAAAATCTCTTAAGTCACTCCTAACGAACTTTTTCTCAACATCTCATGTTTATCGGTTTTGATAAGATATTTCGGGCTACTCTTTATCTAAGGTGAATACCTTGTTACCTACGAATGGCAGTTTTTGAACCGAGGGATTTTTCACGGTGTCACCTTACAACTAGAAAAACACCATGAACGGGGAGCTGGTTTGATAGAGGTTTTGCACTTTTCTGTTTACGAAGTCTTAAATGAAGAAAGATTCGATTCGCGTGAGAGTTTTCGATTGCATCTTTAAAATATATCGAAAAAGAATGCAGGTATGAGAGAGCATTGCTTTGAGCTGGAATCGAACACGTCATGTGTTGCTTCAAATGTCAAATTGTCAAGCGACGAGTTTACGAAGGAATGGTGAATGTGACGTGCCCATGTGTCTGATATATTTTTAAGTAAGCTTAGTTGTTTCTTCAGAAAGCGAGTGGATTTCCTCTGTTGTGCTAAAACTCCATAAATAAGTGACATATTGCAAACGAATTACTGCATGATACGCGTACTTCCAATTGATAATGTGTCAACTAAACCGTCTCTTTGAAAGGTTCTCCTCTATTGTTATCTTTGCTTCGTTAAACAAATAACAAGGTCTTCAATAAACTGTGAACTCGATATTTCATTCATTGTAAAGTAAATTTCTATGCTATCCAGTAACTAAAATTTATTTAAGGCGAAATCCCAAGAAAGGAATCATCCGTGTCTTGTTTAGGTTGCGATCGAGATATTGACATATGTGCATTACTCGCAAATTATGTACATATTGGGAAGGTTTCCCGCCGTGTTCTTGCGACATAAATCAATTTGAAGTTTTTTTTTTTATTTTTAACTGGGAATTGCAATTCTTGTTTTTACTGTTATTTAGGGACGTTCGTTGCGGCAGGTTTTATGCGGCAAACTCAAAATTCAATCATAGCGTTCGCCACCGCACATTGCGCTAAAGCCATATTATTCAATGTGGACTAATAAGAAATAAAAAGTAAACAGCATGAGAGAAATATGTTACATTTGTCGTTTTTATGGTCTAATATTCTGACCAGAACGCGCACCTTCTTCAGAAATCGTTTTCAGGCTACATATTCAATTAATTCACTATCTTATGAAAGGGAATTTTCCGTCGTCTATCGACAATTATTTCGACTGAAGCAAATTTATTAAATTAGCGTCTTTGTTTTCCTGTGCTTTACATTGTTTTTGTTTTGCCGTGAGAACGCCGTTCATTGGCACAATTATTCTTTTCTTCAATTTCCTTATTTATGGACGATTGGATTCTCTTTACATCATGTTGGTAGTGTTTGAAGCGCTCGCTCCCTTGTGTTGGTTTGTTGTTGTGTACAGTGCACGCTTTCTTTCCCGAGGCTGATTTCTTACGCCTTTGTAGCAAAATCTCCTGCTGTTGTATTTATTTAAATTGTGTTCTGAAAAGATCGTGATTAAAAATTCCAATTTTGTAACTATCTCAACAACCTACTGAATGGGCGATGTTATAAAACTTCTTCTACCTATGCGAGTGAATTTTGATGTTTTGATATGATTTTGTGTCAATGCTCTAATCGTCGAGAGACCTGATAGATCAATTTATTATCATTGAAGAGGATCGAGAAGTTATAGATGCTGGAAAATGTGTTTTTTGTTATGCCCCCAGGCCACAGAACATAATATGCAAATTCCTCATCAAATGTAGACCCCCTACTGATGAATTGGTGGGAACAGAGCTTTCCCTTTGTGGTCTTCGTCCAAAAATTTATATCTGAACGTAAGGGAGTGGCTACAAAAAATATATGTTATCCTTTTGATTCCAGTGAATTTTTTGTTTGAGTTTATATCTGTGATGTTTCAAGAAAACAAAAACTTTAGATTAGCCTTTACTCTCTCAGAATTTGCAAGTGGAGCTTGATTCTTATCAATTTTTATGAGACTCTCAATCACTGTGAGAAATAGTATACAAAGCAGACTGAAATTCCAGGTGCTTTCAATTACATTATTCAGACTTAAAGAATTAGTGGAGTGAAGGAAGTTTCAGCCTTGTTTCAGATATCATGCTTAAGCTCATACTGTTTGTGTGGAGGCTCACAATGACTGTGTTTTATTTTATACTTGTAGAATGTATGTTATGTCTCTCCTCTGGATGGTAGTTTTTTTCTATTTCTTGGTACAGGTAGATATGGTTGTGTCATTTTCATTGAGGGGTATGGTTTGATTCATTCAGTCTTTCTATTTGAGATAAACCAGTCAGAAAGTACAGCTTATACTGTTGTATCTTATTTATGACACACAGTACAACTGTTTGACTGCTTTGCTTAGATACCTGTACCTTTGTCAACAGTGTAGATGGAAAGTTTTCTTTCAATAGGGAAGAGAACTGGTGATTGGGTGAACCAAATGCAATAGTATATGTGGTGCATTTACCCTTGATTGATTGTTTCTCTGGTGACAAATTGTAATTTTTGCACAAACATGATCATTGATATGCAGAGTTCAAATGTGCCACTGAAAGAATTGCCATGTTTCATTTCACTAATATTATGACCCACATCAGTTTAGAAAACTTTTTGCTAGTGTGTAATTTTTTATGATGAAGCTACAGTACATGCACAACCTAAGCTATTATAGGTGACCTTTCGCTAGAGGCAGACAAAAGTGACTTTAAAGGACACTTGCTGCCTTACAGGAGAATGGAAGTGGGATTTGAAGTGATGTTAGCAACATTTTATACCTGCCAACTTATGCTAGTGAACTGTGCAAGATTTCTCTTACTGGATCTGATCTTATCTGTTGGATGTTAGAATGCATTTTGCAAATTTTGCAAGACGGTTTGAGGAGTAAGGACTGAGTTTTTAAATGTTCTCCCTTCTGTAATTGGGAGTGCCATGTGTGGGAAGTGATTATTTATTTAAGACTTTTTTCCCTTGAACTGGTACAAGTTTATTTTATCAAACTGGTTTGTAGGCCACAAGCTTGGGTGTGATCAAACTTTCTGATTTACAGTTACAAGAATCACACTTGGTATGTGCAAGTGTGCAGTTGCAACTATTAGTGAGATAAAATCTTGCATTGTATACAAGAGGAACACTTGGATATTTATTTTATTGTTTGCAAGTAGATACACTAAGAAGCAATAGATCTTTGGAGACAGCACAAAGTATATGTAGGTCATTTAAACAAGTAGTGCTACTGATTGAATGTCTTACTATGACGCCTGTGAAAGTGTGTTTTGAATGTTTGGAAAATGAAAAGAATCAACTGTTCTACTTTCATTGGCTTCGTGGGATACTCTTTGGATCAAGGCATTACAATGTCCTTGAGTGATATGATAGGTCACATTTGGGATATATTTTTTTGCTTGAGCAAAGGAATTTTGTTCCTGTTGAAAATCTTTTCCATTTCATTGCCACAGTCTATGTTGAAAAAAGCTTGTTGTTGCATGTTGGAATTAAGAGCAACCATGGATTAGTTCTTGACCTATCAAGTGGAACTTGAATGTTTAGACATAACAAGAGCTTCTATAATTTGCTTTGTGACAGATTACTGAGCAATGAATGTAACAGTGAACATGCAACAACATACCAAGGGTACTAAGCCAATCATGGTGGCTTGTGTGTTCTTGTTGGTTTTTTTCCTCCTCGATTTGAATTGCGTCAGAAGACATTTGAACTTCTCCTTGATCATATCCTCTTTTCTTTTTTCCACTCATATGTTACCCAGCAACAGGAAAAGGTTGTTGTAATTTCAGGCCACTTAGCTAGGGTGTGACTTGAGACATCAAGCAGTCGGTACATTTTATAATACCCTGGCATCTTTGTCATTGAACAAAATATTTTTTATTGTCTAACACAAGTAATTTGTGAACAATTTAGGAAAGTTTTACTGGAAGAGTTAGGTATCAATGTAATTATGATCAAATTGTCAAGCCTGGCAAGTTGAAATGAAATTCTTGAACTTGAGTTTTGGGTTTAACATTTATTTCAGTGTGCTTCTAGTAAATTCTAACTATTTATAGGTTTGATTAACTTATAACTATTTTAATAATGTATTTCTGAGCAGAGTAGGGTACAATGGCTTTGTCAAAGAATTTGATACACCCATTGGCTTGAAACAGGGCTTCAGCCTACTGGAAATTAAACTGATGACTACCATTCTCAGATGTGTCCATCATAAGTTATTAAAAAAAGTTTGCTTGTCAGAATTGCAAATATTAGACAGTTGATTGATAATTTTGAATAAAAATTGCAAGTTTTCAAGAGAACAACCAATGTATTGACTCTCAGTAAATAAGTAATAATTTTGGTCTCAATATATGAAAATTTCCTTACTCTCAATATTGGTCATAGTTCAATGTAGTCAATATATGAGACAATTTACACACTGAGGTATTTGAACCCTATTTTCAAAACAATTAAGCTCATATTAGATGTGAATTTACAATGGTCAAGTACCTGTAATATTGTTGAAAACAACAAAGAAAAAAAATGTGTGTTTAACAATACAGCTAACTTCTCTAGATCAACATTTCAGAGTAATGAAGGGATTGATTCACTTCATGATAGCCTTTGTACCACATCTTTTGAAAAAGTGAACAGAGATTATTGCATTGGGAAATATTTGTTAATACAGTACATGACCACAAGTTCCTGTACTGATTACAATGCGTGTTTTATGCCTAACTAGTAATTCGCTTTTAATTTAAATTTTTCTTTCTCCAAAAGTTTATGATTGAATAAGAACTGTAAATAAGGTATTGTTGGTACAGAACTTTGTTACTTAAGATAGTCTTCACAAATCTTCCAAAATTTTAAATTATCTTGATCCACCATCTCTTAGATTGGCTTCCTTTTTTTTTTGTTATAAATGAATCATAGATCATAGATCACATAATATTATTTTTACCTCAAGTTGCATGTGACCCTGTCAATTTTATATGTTTGTAATTATACACTTTTTTTTGGATTGTGGACAAAGTAGAGATAAATTGGTTTTTTGTTAAATTTGAATCCTGGAAAAGTTGAACAAAGTGCATATTAGTTCTAGGCACCGTGTAAATGAAATGTAGCCCCTTTGGAACATCTTTACATATTTTACTTTCAAACAGTATAAGAAGCTGTGTAACATTATGGACGTCTCCTTTCTCTTTCTGGCTTTTTTATCTCTCTCTTTTTTTTAATGGAGCACAGGAGAAGATCACAGCTAACTTGGCCCTGATGGGAACTTGTGGTACACCTGAATGAATTGTCGATTGAAACATCATCAACAAACTGATATGTTTTTGTTCTGTTTTGGTTACAAGCATTGATGTCATACTATTGTGCAGAGGATCATGAAATTTAATATGAGAAAGAACACTGAACTGGTGGCACTTTGTACCAAAATTGAAATGTACTACATAGTTATCTTTTGCTTAACATAGCTCAGAAAGAAACTTGTTAGTTGTTTTTCGTTGTATGTGTAGTGGATATATTTTCTTAAGACAGGATACATCAGGCAGTTAAACAAAGAGATGCTTGTTCTGACTGTGTAATATTCTTACAGGTACCTACCACACACATTTACCCACCTTGAAAGCAGTAAATCAATTTTCTGTGTTTACTTGAGCTGTGCTTGCAAGAAATAGGAAGTTTATAATTATCAAAAATTTTGTTTTTATTCAGTAACTTTGAAACACAAATTTCTAATCCTTACAATAATTTTTTTGGGAACTTAGTAGACCTCTGTTCCCATTAAATGGAACACATTTGGTTTGTTTTTTTTCCTCTTTATTACCATGTCCTGGCTCCAATATGATGTCATTTTCATGCTGGAATGACTCTCAGGAAATGCCATATTTGACCATTTTATTTTCATGCTTTTCTGTCTACTGGTAGTAAGAAAATATGTTGTAAACTGCCAGCTTGTTGTAGCCTTAGTTTTAAGGTGTGCAAAAATGTAATGTCATTTAATTTCTCAATTCATTGAATTAGTAGTTTGCGAAATAATGGTAGTTGATATTGTAGCTGTGTTCATGCTCAAGTTGTTTACGTGGCACATAGCCCAGTTGTACTTAGGAGATTTAAGTGTTTATAATCTTATTCTTAGCTGTAGTCTGTATCAGATTTTGTTCATCAAAGGTATATCATCCACTTTGGGTTTTTTTTTGGTTGTGGAAGAAAGGGAACCTTGTTTGAAGGTTCATTTTTCTGGATGTTCTTTGTGGGCTTAAGTTTGTAAATTACTGAGTACTCTTTTGTATTCAAGAAGTCAATATTCTTCATGGAGCCTTACTAGGTGACAAGCAGTTTGAGATTTGTTTGAAAATTTTCTAGAAGGTTCCTGATGTAAGGTACTTCTGTTGTAATTCTGAAAGCATCTCATCTATTGAATAAAACATATGGTAATGTTGTGAAAAGGTACAACACACATATAACTTGGGAGATGGGGTGTTCAAGTAGGAATTTAGAGATGAAATTTTCCTGTTTGAACTTAGAAGGTGACATGGATGACTGATTAAAAATCCGTAGGATAATGTATCCACTGTGCATGTATGCCTACACGGAAATTGATTTGAAAACTGTATGACTTCTTTGAATGGAACACCTGATAGATTGTAGGACCTCTACATTGAATTGATTAGATTATAAGGAGCAGGAATACCTGTTATATTTCACTTTCTTATTCATCTTTTTTTGTGTAAGGCAAAATTGTTGATAGTTAGTCTCAACACATTTACCCAACTATAAAACTTAAACCTAGTAGACCTTTTCTTCTGAGACATTCACCCCTTAAAAGTAAACTTTTTTACCCATAAACACCTCCATATTACAAGAGATAACACTTGCATTCCACTGGATAGACTGGACACTTCCAGCTTAAATTCCTCAACCCAGCCTGGCAAGGTTCAAATTCCTAACCCCTAGGCACAGGTGACTTTCAAATCCTTCAAATCCCCATTTGGGGGAGGGGGGGGGGTTAGGAGGGTTGGATGTTGAAGCTTTGAAATGATTGGTGTCGCAGCACATGCTCCTTAGTCAGTTATTGTTTAGGTTGGCTCAACCTTACTTCCGCTGACATTCTCTTTTAATCTATTTTTTCAGGGATCTTAGTAATAATCAGCTGGTGACCTTGAATATTTCGCAGCTTTCAAGACTAACAGACCTTCAAGAGCTGTAAGCCTTTAGAATTAATCTTATATTTGGTTATAATTTACAATATCCTAAATCGGTTTCCTTTTTATCCTTTGCAAGTAATCGTCCACAAACCTAAGCTATTTGTTTAATGATATCATTCATTGAACATTTTGAGCCCAGTAGTTCTTTTATGTCAATAATATATGATTAATAATGGTTAATAGAAACTATTTTTTTGCATGGTCAGTCATGAATTCACAAGAGGCAAGACTTTTGAAGTTGGCCCATCAGCAGGAGGATTTACCCTCTGTTCCTGCACTTGAAACAACACACTTGCAACAAAGGGTGTAATATGAAAATTACTTGCCAGCCCAGTCTTTATCCATTGCAGAGTTCTTGACATTTTGTCCTTCTCTCTTTTATCAGTCTTCTTCATGAAAATCGGCTCAAAGAAGTTCCACCATGGCAGGCTTTACCATCTTCCTTGATCCGCTTGTCTTTGTGAGTATTAAATTTAATTTTTGTAACCCTGTGTACACACTCTATGAAGTCATCCTTCACAACTTTTCCGGAAACTCAGCTAACTTATTACCTTCCTTCTGTGGATACTTAAATTCAAGGGACACTTTTGTAGGGTGCATCTAGGTGGAGGTTCCTTGGTATTCAATGAGCAATAAGTTATGAAGTAAAGTTACGGCTTCACTGTGATTTTCCTGTAGTTCACTGAAAAGCATGTTGTAAATCTAGGTATTTAGCAGCATATTCAAGGAATTACAAGGCTATATAAGGCTCATGCTTCATTTCGTTCTACTCAAACAAGGGTTTAATCATTGGTTCAGTTGACCCATCCTTATTGACAAGTCAATGACCAACAGTATTTTTGACATACTTCTTCAGATCTTTTGAAAGAGGAATACATTACAGATTCAAGAAGTGAACTGCAGATTGAAAACTTGACTTTTAAGTCTGGGGGAAAAAAATAAGTGTCTGAGAAAATAGCATTTTTCACTTTACCTTTGCAGGCATCACAACAAAATAACGTCCATCCCATCACAAAATGTCACAAAGAGACTATCTTTACAATATCTGTAAGTATATTTGTGGCATTTACATTCAAACTGCACATTTGCACAGGAGTAGATTTAAGCACTTACCATTTAGTTTTAGGGTGAACCTCTCAGCAAGTGACACCCATTTAAGGCAGATCACTTATAAGCTATCTAGAAAGGAAAACGTATGTGGATACCTTCTGTTCAGTCCTTAAACACTATTCTTTTCAAGGTGAAAAAATCTTCTCCATGTTCTCTCTCGATTCCACTGCTGTTTTCAGCTAAAAAGCCTTACATATCATTTGTAGAGCTTTATTGAGAGAAAAATAGAAGTCATTTATCTACCAGTGCTATCAATAATAGATATTTATCAATAATTCCCAAATGGGATAACACCATGCCATACAGATATTGATATATAAAATAACTTAAAGATCACACTCTCATGTTTTTGCTTCCTGTTTTGTTCCAGGTTTCTGAGCAGTAATAGAATTTCATACATTGGGCCAAATGCCTTTGCTAATCTCACCTCAGTGCAGTCATTGTGAGTAGTGAAAGTGATCCACTACCTTGTTAAAATTGTTATTGTAGTTGTGGCAGAGGTAGTAGAAGGATGCTAAGGATATTTGTCAAGACCAAGTGAATTTCCCTAGGGAATTGATTGTTGTTCAATTTGATTTGATTACCAAAGTCTATAGGCAAGTAAAGGGTAGAAAAACTCAATCAGCCATCTTATGCCTCTCAGATCATAAATGCTCACTCCATGCCAAATTGTTTTTGTGAAGCAATTTCTTTCACATGAAGTGACCATGTCACATGTTCACTAGTTTCTGTAGTTGATTGCAATGTCTATGAATCAAATTTGATGCATAAGGACCTCCAAATAGATTGCGCCATCAGTGTTATTGAAGACTTAGGATGATCGAATGAAGTAACTTTGGAAATTTTGATACCCTGTAATTTAAATTGGATGGAAGAGGTGGCAGCATGAACTAAACATGATTTTGTATGACAATTCATGAGAGTTGGGCTATAATGTTGTATTATGAATAAAATGTTCAACAAAGCTGCTATGTCTGTTTATCACAGGAAACTGAGCCGAAATAGGCTGACATCCATTCCAGTTCAGGCCTTGAGTCAGTTAACCTCATTAAAAAAACTGTAAGTCTCTCATTTGTCAGTTATTTAATTATTTGTGTTGTTTTGAATAAGATTCTTATCACATTGCTGCATCTGCTTTATAAAGTGATTCAAATGACAGGTTATTGCCCTTCTGCTTCCTGTGGGGAAGAAATTATATCATGTTATGTTTCATAACTTACTTAGACCCAGATCTTATCACAGAAGCTGTCTGAAGCAAAATTTTTCATCATTTTTTCTTTACAGCTGTGTAATTTTTCATCTTTGTTACTTTGATGAACAAAATCACATGATATTTCCTAATTTTAAGCGATACGCAATTTGAACATGTAGCTCTGTGGGAGGATACTTGTAGTTCTGTTTATACTCAAGAACCAAATGTTTGGATAGGCTTTAAATACTTTAAAATGTGGTTGATGTATTAAAAAGATTTTTAGATAGATAAGGTTGATATGCTTTTCATTTAAGTGTGATATCATGTAACGGAGAATAGTAGAATTGATGAAATTAGAATAATCCTGGTTTGCATTTTGGGTGTTATTACGTATTTCATATGATTTCACTCTGTTTTCTTTCAGAGATCTCACAAAAAATTGGATCAATGCTGTTGTCAGTCCTTTGAAAAGTCTAAAGTCTGTAGCCATACTGTAAGTTTTTCTTATTCTTTGTTTTAATATTTCATGATCCTCAAAACATTCTTTGCATTTTTATTCCAGATTAAGGGAGTTTACTTTAGTGGAATGAAAATCTGGTCTTATCATGTTTATCAGATCACTAAAAATCCTGTTAAATCTCTCAGGGCACACTTTCAGCCACAAGCTGGTGTCTGTTTGTTTCCTGAGCTCCATGTAGAAAAGACATTTTGCAATTTGCTACATTCCACAAATATTTCAGACAGTTAATTGAATTAGGGTTTGAGAAAATGTAGGGATTGAATGAAGGATGTACAGTTTTGACAGGAAAAGTTTAAACAGCTTTATACCAAAGGAAAGAAAATTGTTGGTTATTTTTCAGTAGATTCAAAGAGATATTAAAAATGATTGGCACTATTTTATTCCAGATCCTTAGACCCTTAGAATAATTTTTGAGGAATTAAATTGGCCATCAGACAAGAAACAAGAATAGGTCTACGCCCCTAATGAAGTTTGTCTCAATTACATAAATTTATTCATTACAATTTCTATGATGTTATGTACTTATACATGAATGACTTGTATTGCTCAAGGATTTTTTTTTTCAATTCAGTATAAATGAACAATAAAACCAAAACAACTTTCTGATCTATATTCATGATCCCCTGGACTGGGTTTGTTTCATGGGGATTTATCTCTATCAGCATTACACAACAATCTGGGCTTTTTTTCCTTAAATTGTTATAAAACCAATTTGTAAATGCAGCTAAAGTAGACTGTTAATTCCGCAGTGTCTCATTAGCCACTGCTATATGCATTGCTTATCAAAGCACAGATCAGATATCTATTTAAAAGCACAGATACCTCGTATCAGAGGCTGTCTATCTTAAGCTTGTTGTCATGCTCTTATAGCATTTTGTCTCTTCTTTCATCATTGCAGAAAGCTTTCAAAGAATAAAATCCATACCATATCTAATAATGCACTCTGGGAGATGTCCAATCTGAGGGAATTGTGAGTACATCAGCTGAAATTGTTAATATGAACTTGTCTGTGGGTATTGTTATTTGTGATTTCAACAAATTTTCTCACCTGTCTCTTGTAAGGTCTGGAATTGTAGAGATAAGGGGGTGGGGAGATATTCCAACCTCTTTGCAGTATTTTACCCTGAAAATTTATTATGAAATTCATAACCTATTTTTTTCTCCTCTTCTGACTACATGAATACATCTTCATACTGTCATTGGTGCCAAATGTTTTTTCATGGCTTGTAACCCGTTAAACTCCAAGAGTGATTGACATGTTAATTCTCCTTACACTAATACTGCTGAATCTTGCATTAAAATCATAAGAATAAAGGAAATGGTTGCCATCAGAAGCTTTGATTGTTAAACAAAATTCTCCTCTTCAGTCACAAAGGAAATATACAGAGAAGAGTATGGAGAATATGGATACTGATTTTAGGGCGTAAAGGGTTAACTAAATATCAATTTTCTTTAGGTATTTGGACAACAATAATCTAACATTCGTGGCTACACTGTGGTTCATTGGAGATGGCAACCTTCATAAACTGTAAGTCTGTGTACCTCTAAGGTATAGCGTTTGTTTCAGTGGATGTTGAAAGAAAAATGATATCTCTCTTACATTTGCATGAACCCTGTACTTGCTATATGGAAAATATTATATCCTGCAATGATTACCCTGCTTAATGTGCTGATAGTATGAAGAACAAGTTTTAAAATGGCTTCTTCAGGATTGTATAAAATTGCAGTCGATCATATAATCACCTGAGTCATTATATGGAAAAATGATTATTATTCTTTCATGTAGTCGAGTAATCCTCCCTGATCAATGTCAGGGATTGTGGGATAGTAGCTTATTCACTTCATCTGTGATGAATAATTATATTCTAACTGAGGACACTGCCTAGAAGGTGTGCTTTTCTCAGAGCTTAGCTATTTTAAAAGCAGTGATTTTGAGGAGTAAAAGTGAATGAAATGGGAGAACAATTTGCTATGTGGCACAAAGTAATAATTCTTTTTCATGAACATGTCACCCAATAATGTTTAAGGTATTTCCACAATTCAATTCAGTTATGGACCTGTTTAATGTATATTAATTTTTTTTAATTTTTTTTATTTCTGAACCAGCTATCTGAACAACAATCGCATCAGCAAGATTGAAAAAGGTCCTTCCTTTGACTGGAGAACAGTTCTTCTTCTGGGGGATTTGTAAGTTGGTTTTAGTTGGTTGTATTTCATCTTCTCTTGTGGAGTGTAACAAATGATATCAAGTCACTCCTTGGTATTGCATACACCCATTATGGTTCTCTGTCCATAACAACCAGTTCCTTCTTTTTCTCATAGGAACCTGGCCCAGAATGAATTGTCCTACATTCACAAGGACACATTTGCCCATCTTTTAACCCTGCAGAGTCTGTAAGTGTTCAGTTTGTAGTATATGACTTAAGTCAGCAACTTCAATAGAGGCTTTTTTTTTTGTAGATGGCTGGGTTTAATTCCTCATACTGCTGTCCATTGAGATGTTTTTTTCCAAGATTGGTAGTGCCCCTTTTGTGGTAACAGAAACACAATGTAACACCTTCAGCTTCTGAAACCCCCACATTTATGCATATGAAGTTTAGCCTGGTGTTCCACAAAGCAACTAGGGGTTTAACTACCTGCCTTCTGGATGGGCTGCTAGTCTATCTTGATTGGAGGGAGTCATTGAGATTGAAGGTTATTGCCCAAAAAAAAAAAAAAAACACCATGTTGCCCAAGCCCAAGTGACTTCTAATTTTCTGGATCTGGATCTGAACCTCAGTGTTTCCTGTTAGAAAATTGTGAATTACATATGCTTTAACTAAGGTTATCCCCCATTTTTTTCCTTGCAGAAATCTTGGCAATAACCAGATTTATCATGTGGAAGATGGGGCATTCTCTGACTTGAGCTCATTGAGTGTGTTGTAAGTTTCTACCCTATACTACGCATTGTGGTCCTTCAACTTAATGTGTTTAAGCTGATTTTGTTACTTAAACTTTTCAAGAAATATTAGGTAATGTTACCTGTTAACCCTTTAACTCCCAGATCAAGTTTATAATTCTCCTTACTGTCAATTATACAATTCTTATGATGTTAGTTCAGAGAATTATCCTAAATTGATATTTTTCTTTATTCTCATCACTTATCTAGTTGATATTGTATCAATATTGTATGGAGAAATTCTGTCTTGGTCATTCATGGGAGTTAAAGGATTAAATAGTGAAAGCCTTAACCTTATATCTGGGGGCACAGGTTTGAATTCCATCAAAGTCTGAATTGTTTAATTGCTTCTTTTCTTGACTTCCTCTGGATGTAGCTCATCTGCAGGGATCATTTCTTTTATTGAATATTACTGGCAGGTCAAAAGAGTGTTTCATTTGATTGTTAGTATAAGTGTTGTTTGTATTCTAGGGATCTTAGAAACAATGCTCTGTCCTCTATTCTGGAAGGAACCAGGAGTGCATTTGAAGGACTTAAAAAGTTGGTTCTGCTGTAAGTAAAGAAATTCAACTTATTTGATTTAGTTATGCCATATGCAGTGTTGCTGAATCATATGTATGTAGTGATGCTGTAATTGGGGTAAATGTGGAACTGACCAACTGATTATAGAATTATGTTACATATGTCTACTTAAACAACCCTTTAGTCCTGAAAATCTGTTTAGCTATTTTTTTATTATCCTCCTTGAGGAAATTTGTTGTATCCACATATAACACGCCGAGACATTTTTCTCCTTTCATCACATGCTTGCTAGATTAAATACTTTGAAATGATTATTTTAAGGAAGAACTAAAGGCAATTCTCTTTTGGGAGTCATAGAGTTAACTGTGCACGCCACCTCTGAATTATTGTATATTGTGATTGATTTTGATGATTGTATCATGTGATGTGTAGTTAAATATTTTTAAATACCTTTTGAATGAGATGACCTATAAACTTTGTAGGAGGCTTGATGGAAATGGTATCCCTTGGATAGCAGCAAATGCATTCTCTGGACTTAAATCAGTCAAAAGCTTGTAAGTATAGTATATTTATTTTTTTGTAAATGCATCTAGTTAGAGTACCACTCTTTTTAGCTTAATGATAACTAAATAATCATGTTTCTGTTACAATTTTTCCCTCCAGTCAAACATGTGTTTCACTGTGACATTTCTGTTTTAGGAACCTTTCAGCTAATATTGTAGCATATATTGAGGAGAATGCTTTCTTGGAGGCCAATGAACTACAATTTCTGTAAGTTGGATAACTGTTACTTCTACCTGTTTTGTTTAAATACACATTGAGGGGTGTCATGATATGAATTTTGGAATGTGCTCATGTGAGAGGACCTTCTCTTGTTTCACAGATATTTAAACACTACCCACCTTCTTTGTAACTGTGACCTCAGCTGGCTACCTAGATGGATTGAAAAGAAGGAAGAAGACACAGAAGGATTCAAATCAAACATACATGCTGTCTGCCTACACCCTAAACCAGTAGAAAGAAGAAGCATTTTTAACCTCAGTTCATCTGAATTTGTTTGTGGTAAGGATTTTAATAGTATGGGACTTCTTTTCCAACAGCCCAGTTGATTCTAGGTCAGAACTTTCCTCTTTTAAAGAGGCCTAAGTTGCAAAGAACTGTGGTTATACTTCTTCCTTTTTTTAAGCAAACTTCCTCAGTGTTTGTTTATACATAAAGTAATTACAATAAAGAGGGTGTTGTGGTATAATCTAACTGACAGAAAAACACTACAATCCCACAAACTCAACGATTTTATGAAACAGCAAGTTGTGTTCTTAATGAGGGGCAACTATCAAAAGCAGTACAATACTTATCCGTAATTAACTTAATTAAGCCCACCACAGTCTATACTCTAGCTCACCACTAACACAATCTCACTGCTGTCTCCAAAGTTTCTTGAAATAAGTGATCTTCTGCAGTAACTCTCTCTCTTGGTATAGCTTTCAAAACAGTTGTCAATGTGACAACAGCAATTACTCCTACCACTACATAAGTGAGTCCTTATATATATTCACAAAGTGTTCTGGAACATTCTAGAAGCTGTCATAAGAATTATTTTAGCACTTTTACATTATAAATGTGTGACTCAATGAGATGTTTTGGAAAGTTCTATGGTATGAAAGTCAGCATGACTCAGCAGTCAGGAGATTTCTAGAAGCAACAACAATTACCCATAACAAGGGGAGAACTACTCCTTTATGAAATGCCAAATATAATGAGATTTGTGTGCTCCTACTGGGGACATACAGCAGGTGAAATGCATTGTATGATTATTCAACATGCCTAGGAGACTGTGATTAAATTACCAGTATGAAGCTCATTCAATCAAATAGTCCATTTTACAGTTGTGAGCTTGGTTGCCAAGCCTTTGAACAGGAATGAGGCTAAGGGTGACCTTGTTATGATACAAACCTTGCTGCTTTTCAAATGCAAATTACTTTGTTATCATGCTAACTAGATACTGGTCTCTATCACAACAAGGTCACCTTCAGCCTCACTCCAAATCAAAGGCTTGGCAACTAAGCACACAACTGTAAAATGGCCTATTGTGGCTTGTGCATTTTTTTAAATTTTATAAATGTATCCAACCCACGAGCCAATCAGATAATATGTTGATGCCTGTAATTTTTTAGACAAGAATGATTACAAACCAGAGATAACAACACATCCACAAGGACACAAGGTTCTGCTTGGTAAGAATTTTACATTACATTGTGTGGTCAGGCAGAGGAATAGTACAATCAAAGTTAACTGGACAAAGAACAACAAGCCTCTGGAAGGTGCAGACATCACAAGCCATGCTCAGGTTGGTGAGTTAGTTGTAATGGGATGTTCTGGAAATTGTGTTATCTTCCTTGTGTGATACAGATTACTTGAATATTATTTAATTAATAATTACTTGTTAATATTTCACATGCTCTTTTCACTCCCAAGAGTAACCAAAAGGAATCTCTTTTCACCCTCTGACCCACAAGAGTAACTAGACTGTAATTTCCCTCTACTATCTCCCCTCTGAATCACACATTGAGTTCACAAAACTAAAGTAAATGATGCTCAACTGTAGAAGCTCTTAATTGTGAAACAAATTCTCCTTGTTAGCACCTTAGTGAATGTATAGAGAACAGTATGGAGAATATGCATACTGATGTTAGGGTGTAAAGGTTCAATAAAATCGTTATTCTTCGGAGTTGAAAAAGTATCAGTTAGGGGAGGTTTTTTTTTTCAACACCAATTTCTTGGAAGTTAAGTTCCAAGAGCTGTTTTGAAGACAGTGCAAAGAATATATTTAGATCTTTGGAGTGAAAGGGAGATTGGCAATGTGGCTGACTAAAGTCATTCAATTGAATGGTTGGATCTGAATTTTGTACATTTTTGAGAGGGCAGTATGCATGTTTGGGAGAGTGGGCCAGGAAGTGAGGCAGTGAGAATCATGGCTCCTTTTTCAGTGCTGTGGCAACCATTTCAAGCTATTGTGGGCGATTAAAATCAATCTCTATCAAACTCACTTAATAACCTGCTTGGTTTCTTGAACATGTGTTCCCTTCTACAGACCAGTGATGGCAAAATGGTTACTTACAGCAGCGAGCTTCATTTGGTATCAGTGACAAACAAAGACAGTGGCAATTATCAGTGTGTGGCAACAAATTATTTTACACCTGTCCAGTCAAAGATAGCTCAAATCACAGTGCTTGGTAAGTGGAACAAATATATACATCATATCTGCACATAGGGTTTAACAATAGCTTAATTAACAAACTTGGCACAGTGTCGATTATTGAGTATTAATAAAATACATTAAGATCAAAAAGCTGGCTTAAGAAACAGAATCTTTATTTTAGATTGGAATTATATTAAAATACTTATGTTATGATTACTCTTTGTCAGAAGCTTCTGATTCTTTTTTTCAAGTTTTCAAGTATTGTATATTATTCAAAATTGTTGTTTAGTGCTCCTAGATAGTCTACATGGATTATAGAAACACCCTCCTTATCCTTCTCTTCATCCTGAATTAAACTGTACCTGCCGAGGCTAAACTCATTATGTGATAACACTGATTGTGATGTTTGTGTTACATACACATTGTAGGAAAGGTGAAATTGGATTTGCATATGACAAAGCTGTAAAAATGTTCCAGTTTTATTAAGTTTCTTTCTCAAGATTTTATTTTTGTTATATTTAAGTTATGAAAAGTGCCATAATATGCGCTGGAAAACTTAAATGATAAAGTTGTAGTTGTTGCTAGTTTATATGACAAGGCACATGACTGTACAAGTTTCCTATACCAATCCGAGTATTGAGAAAAGAAAACATAAAAACAACTTCACCCTTATGGCATTCTGGTAATCTGGAAACTTATATCATTTTCCAGTTGTTGGAAGTCTTGAAATGTGAGTGTGGTTATTGATAATAATTTTTCTGAGAAAATTAAAGAAGAAATACCTTGATTGACTTAGTAGCCATATTATTTGGAAACCAGCTTCGTCAGTGGTGGTCCCGATATTATATATCTATAACGAAAAAATGCCTTGGAATAGGTCCTGGAATTTTATGGAATCTCGTGTAATTTCGATCTTGTTTGTTTTGTTTTCCAGTTTTCCCCAGGATCAAAGAGAAACCGTCTGACACATTTGTTAAAGGAGGTGAAACTTTTGAGCTGCGTTGTGAAGCTGACGGTTCCCCAGAACCACAGGTCTCGTGGCAAAAAGATGGGGGTTCAAACTTCCCTGCAGCTAGTGAGAAGCGCATATATTATTCGCCTGAGAGGAAAGTGTACGTGATTAGGAATGCTCAACCAGCGGATACTGGAGAATACATCTGTAGCGCAGCAAATGATGCTGGTTCTGTCAATGCATCAGCCTTTGTTACTGTCTTAAGTGAGTGGCTCTCATTATGTCTTATTTTGAATAAATAAAATTGAAATTCACAAGGTAACCAGGTGGACCATCACACATGGTTTGATGCTACTCTGGTTTAAAGATGTAATGAATGTAACCGAGAAGTTACAGAATTTTACTCTCCTGTCTATTTCCTTCATTAGGAGTGATCTAATTAATGTAACAAGAGGTACTTTTATATACTCACTAGTTAGCTGCCCTTTTTTCCGACGAGGTGTAAATAACCTTTTCAGACTTGAGGGGATATCTTTGCCAAACCTAGGGATGCTGTTACAAAAGAACAACGAACCGACGCTTTTCATTCTATTCCGTGCAAGGACTGTGATCACGAGTATATCAGACAGACCAAACGTTAGTTTGGTACACGATTGAAAGAGCATCAAAAGGCGTTTTTCTTTCGCAAAAGAGAAAATTCAGCTTTGTCGGAGCACACATGCCTAACCAACCATACAAATGGGTGGGATAATTCTAGACTCACACCACTAATCGACGTTACCACCAGCGCCTTTGTTTGGAAGCCTGGCGTACGAACTCCGCCCACGCTCCTTTAAATCGTGATTATGGCGGCTTACTACCTGACTTCTATTTACACCTCGTCAGAAAAATAGGCAGATAATTAGTGATCATAGAAAAGGACCTGTAGTTGCAGCGATTAGATCACCCCTGATGAAGGCACTAGGCAGGAATGTCGAAACGATGGGTTCGTGAATTGTAACTTCTCGGTTACATTCATTAAATCTTTAAACCAGAGTAGCATCAAACCATGACTAAATGAAAATTGCAATGTACACTCCATTAAGCCCCTTTTTAACTGATATGCCCTCTCTCGCACTCATAAGCACTGCTACACAGGTCCCTAGGACTGCTATTCTCATTATGAGGATAGACCTGCCTCCAAAATCAAACAATTATTATGAAGGGTTTAAAATACTTTAATTGATCCTAGCACCAAAGAGTAAACTCGCGCAGTTTTGTTAGCAGACTGTTCGCTGATTTGAAAGTAGCAGTAATGCAAGTGTATTGAAATTTGATCAATGTTCGTTTGTTCGCGTGGGAATTTCCAGCTTGTCGTTGTGGAGAAGTGTGTATTCGTAATTAGGATTCACTGTTAAGAGGTATGCTTACAATAGGTACTTTTTGGTGTCTCTAGAAGCGCCGCACGTTGTGCATCCTATACGAAGTGAAGTTGTGGTGACTGTAGGTGACAATGCGGTGCTGCAGTGTTTAGTCACTGGTGCTCCAGGACCCACAGTGACGTGGTTTAAGAGTGACAGGGTCGTAAAGAGGAGCAGCCGTATTATGTTTGCTGAAGCAGGCCAGGTGCTGGTTATAACCGAGGTCAAGGAAGACGATGGCGACAAGTACTCTTGCGAGGCTTCAAACTCGGAGGGAACTCTCAAGCAGAGCACAGAGCTTTATGTAGAACCAGGTATGGGTGTGAATGTCATTGAATCATCCCCACCTTGAATTTGTAGATAGCATAGAGATCAATGTCCCTCCAGATCAGATTCTGAATTTGATTTCTAATAGCTGGGGAAAAAAAAAAGACATTTAACAATTTGCTAACGAAAAGCAAGAACAATCACACCACGGCAAAAGCAGACAAAAAATAAAACAAGACTAAAAAAAAAAACAAAAACAAAAACCAAAAAATAACAGTTTGAACATAAAAACGACGCTGCAAGTGGAAATATTTCCCCTATGTCAATTATGAACCAAAGTAAACTGTTAGTAAAGAAGAAGTTATAAGCGAAAAGAGTGTAATGGGAAAGAAAGACGTAAACGTTGGGTTTCACTTTTAGTAGAGATATTTTAGTTTGCTATTGTTGGATAATGCTTCTCCAGGTTTGTAAGCATTTCTGTTGTTTTACAGAAAAATGCACGAGCGTTGGCACTACCGAAAAGACCAACAAATCAAAGTACGTGAAGTACGATAAGAAAACGTTTCTTGGAATCATTGTTGTTGTGGTGGTGTCCTGCATTGTGGTTACATCAATGGTGTGGCTCTTCATTCAGTACAATACCCTTTCCTGCGGAAAGAAGGCGTCTCCAAGAAGACGTCCACAGCACGTGTCACATTTTGAACCGGAGCTCTGTGACGAGGCGAATGCGAAGGCTTTTGAACACGAAGGTATCAGCTACATTCCTTTAAAATCGTCTAGTTCAAGTAGCACTCAAAACAGCCGCGAGTCGCCACGATCGACGGCAACGTTTATTACTTCATCAGAGTCTGCGCAAGGGCCGTGTATAAATCTTGTGTCAAGCTCGGAAAACGCTTCGGGTTCCGAAGAGAAATCGTCCACAGGCGACAATGTCTCATCGGAGAACTCGCTGAAGGGTAGTCATAGCTCTTTGACATCGTCATATCCTTCAGATGCTTGTCTTTCCAGTTATCAACAAGTGGTGACTTCAGCACAAATTCATGTTTCTGATAGTGACTCCGAGAAGCATAGGCCGTGTAATACACGGAAAAAATCTGAAACTGAAGATCCAGGCGAAGGAGATGGACAAAAAAATCTAGGCTTTCCGAGGCATTACCATGAACATACTACATTGCTTCAGAGACCATTGAGAACTAATGACGACAACGTTTCCCTGCCAGATGATGCAAACAAAGATGTTTGCGTGACAGTATATCCTCTGGCGGAAGCAGATACGTCTTGCGTGACTGATAGCGTAGGCTGTTCGGAAACGTAGCATTTGTCATTTTTATAATATGATAAATTATTGTAATTAATATTATTATTATTATTATTATTATTATTATTATTATTATTATTATTATTATTATTATTATAACGACTATTATTGTTGTATAAATATGTATAGTTGTGAGAAAACCATGCGTCAGCCAGGCGACGGTTTTTTTAGATATGTATCGGAGACATGCTCAAGCTGGTTCTCTGGCAACTGTAAAGATCCCTTTATCGTTCGTGCAAGTGACAAGGTCCATTTACCTCTAACAAAATAAAAAACGACAGTGAAAACTTGATCTGGTTTTCTATCTGTTTGTTGTTTGCATTAGTCATCTGGTTCAGCTCAAACGCTATGGTCAAGCCGAATCTTTACTTGCAAGTTTTCCGTGGTGAATTTTCTTGTCGAAAACTCGTTAATTTCGTTTACAGGTGTCTTTTTAAAAAATTGGCAAGTCATTGACTTATTAATGAGAAAATAGTCAAAAGTTTCCATCTAGTCCACCAAGGAAAACTTTTTAAGGGAAAACTTGCAGGTTTAAATGCAGCCGAAGGCGATTACCGATTGATTGTCGAAATAGATCGAGAATTTAATTGGGTTGCCACGGTCTGCAATCGGTCTCAAAAACTCGCGCCACCCTGTCGATCAATCACGTGCTTACTTAACAACTCGTCACTCGCGTTTTCCCGCGCTCTGGACAGATGACCTTTTTTTTCTTTTTAATTGATAACTCTAATTACTTCGGATTGGTTTTACAACGCTCAAATCGGAACGCTTTTAAAGAAATCCTAATATTTTTTCAGAATGATGGGGCTGTTCACTTCCTAGTCAATTGTCATTTCTGTTGTCACCGAAACTAAAGAGAAAATGTTCAGTAACCGGTAAAGACTCAGAAAAAATTTGGAATTTTTCCTTAAAGAAAATTGGCATCCCACGGAAGCAGAATTATACTATTTTACGGTGTTTCATGATGAATGGGAACATCAACAGAACACTCACTGGTAGCATACAAAAAGCCCTACCCTCCCCACCTAGGAGAAACGGAAGGGGAGGAACATTCTTTCCGTTTTCCCCTGGCGAAGTCATTCAGCAAATAATTTCTATACCTGAACCGTACTAAATGACATGTCAGTGGTATGTGGGAGGAAAGTCACACAGCTGAATTTTTAAAAATGATCTTGCACACCTGTTCTCCAGTTATCTTGAGGGGAAACCAGACGAATCTTTTAAATTGAAATCGTTTTTAAAGTCATCCTTCCTCTTTGAAAAGGATAACAATAACTGGATGATGCAGCCGCGGTTCTGTTATCAGCATAAGTGAAGGTGTTACCTATGCTCCTTTTAGACCAACTTGCACAGCATTTCAAAGTGCAGCTTATTAAAATGAATGAGTTGCCAGTAATCGGATCCTTGTGTTTGAGAAAAGATTTCTGGGATTGCCGTGGGGCAGAAATTGAAAGTTTCTATTGGGAAATATATGGCGAAAGACTGTTTCGACGTTTGGAGCGAGATCGTCGTTTTTTCGCCGCAGTTTTATCAGAAATGAATTCAGGTAGTGTTGTTGCAAGGGTAGTGTAAGTTGTTTGATTAACCATGAACCATGAAATATGTAATAAAATCTACCGATAAACTTTTCTCCATGCATAAGGTCCGTAAGGTTCATTGTGAAATTGACATAGCGTAATAATCTCGAAATTCAAAGATATCGGCCATAAATCGCCAAGAATAAACTTAATTAAGCCTTTTCAGCTTTTGTTACGTATGTTCAGTCCACTGCTAGTTTTTTTTTCTTGGCTTGGTAATACAAAAGGGCGCTACCACAGCGATCTCGATAAGGCAGCGGGAGATTGAAATGGTTTGCTTGAGCATCAAATATAATCATGATACATTTATGTGATTAAACGCCTACATTGCTTATTTGTTATGATGAATGAGAGACGGCAAATCAGCGTTCATAATCGGTTCAATGCGGAACCCGGCTTTCTTCTGCGACGATGAGTGGGTACAAATGAGTCGCTTTAGGAGCGATGCATATTTGAATATACGTCCACAATTTCTGCCGGAGTTCCTGTGATCTTGCTGTTCTTGACAAAATCCTCCATGGAGTTCGAGGAAGAAACTGGCACATGAAAACCTTTGGATTTTTCTCAAACAAACTGCCCTCTTGACCAAGGCGTTCCTTATCGTTTATTTATCCTTCCGAAGGGCAACAGCTCGGTAAAAGTAATTTCCATCTCCGCTGACAACGACGCCTTCTCTCCTTTGAGGTGGTATATTTTTAGACACCGAAATTTGTTTATTTAATACGCCAACAAGTATGAAAACAAGCTGTATTCATATAAATACAACTGAAAATACTTAAATGAGTTATTTGGCGATTTATGACTAATTTTGCAATATATCAACACCATTACGAGATAAAGATTTCACAATAAACCTTAAGTAAGGAGAGAAGGTTATTGTTCTAATGCGAAATTACTGTTCTAATCAGCCAACTTTGCCGAATTCGCCTCTTTCCCCTCTAATTGTGGCGGTTTCATTATACTATCATGCTCGAATTGCTCGCCACAGCATCTCAATAATATTACCAATACGCATGCCAGGCGTGCGAGTCGTGGTACCAGGCGTGCGAGTCGTGGTGCGAGGCGTGCGAGTCGTGGTGCGAGGCGTGCGAGGTATGCGAATAATAAAGACAAACTAAAAGGCATTCTAAGATCGACTGCGGGGAAGATACGCACTGTTGTTTAGTTGTAGCGATTGCGGTAAAAAAAAAACAATGTGGAGTAAAATGCAGCAGGATCAGAGCCAAGAATAGCTCTTGTCAATGTCAAAATTGTGACGAAAGGAAGACAAGGCCGAGGACAAGGCAGGAAATTAATAGAGTAGATTCATGTATTAAATGTGCACAATAGATTATTAACTGAGAAGTTTACAATCTCTTGATGTGTATCAAAAATAAAGTGAAATACGAATAAATTTGCTAATTCCTTTCTTCTTGATCAGACACGCGGACATCACTCGTAATTATAAACCGGGTAGTTTCATTTGCTTTCTCTGGGGCCCACAAAGAGGCACTGTCAGATTGACAATATGACAATGCCTGCCAGGTAGAGGATAATAATCCATTCCTTGAACTGGCCAAGCAGCTTTCAAAACTGACCATTCTCTAACTGGCCCAATAATCCTTTCAAAATGAATTCTTATCGGTGCGGTATTCGGTCGTTTGTACCCATGCTCGTTTTGTATCCACATTCAATCGAGCTGTACCCAGTTTAAGTCGGTTCATACCCGAACCACTGGTCGATTCGTAACCGTTCCTATAGACAAAGATACGAAATGAAATATAATAAAGTATGTGGTTATTATTCATCGTGGTGTAAGATAGGAGATGAACTTTGTGTGGATTTAGCTGAGTGGACTTAGTATGATTGGCTGCTTCAACAGTCCGATTACAGGTGTCCGATTACAGCCAACTGTCCGATTACACTGCCTGATCACAACTGTACAGAGTAATTTGGGAAATATAAAGCAGCTGATGCACCAATCACACTTGAGGGAATTGTAATGGTTATGATTAGTTTTAAAATACTTTGAGTAGGCTTTGCTAAAATAGTGGAATAGATTTTCCTCGCCATAGGGTTAAATTAACTTATTGTCATATTTTGGGAAAATTGATCAAGAGAAAGTTGTAGACTATTATTTTCCAAAACTAGGCTTTACAGGAACTTTTGGTGTGGGAAAAGACCTTCATTAAGATTTCGTCTTATTTTTCTTCAAAAATAAGCAGCAGTCACCCATAACTGAAGCAGCTTATTAACGATACACATCTTCCTTATGTATGGGCGTTTTTGTGTCCGAATTTATGGACAAAACCCTAACCCTAACCGTGCACGTGAAAAGATAGAAGCATGAACCCAAATACGAAAATGGCCGGGGAAAATATTTATAATTTGGACCAGAAGTTCTTTGCAGAGCACAAGGAACTTCCGGTCCAACCTTCACTTTTTCCATATGGTTGCACCATTTTTCGATGGTGACGATCATAATTCTTCTCTGCAAATAGACGGAATCTTTTATAGGAACTTGGAGGAAGATGGAAGGGAGTTATAAGAATATAGGTTACAAGAATTCTATTATAGTTCTTCAACCTAAATTGCGAGGGATCTTTTATCAACTTGAAGAATCTGCCTTTGATTGTGTCGCAAAGAAACTAAACTATAAGACTGGGATATTCTTGAAGCAAATAAAAGGAGAACGAAATGGCAAAAGGAGAGCCAAGAAGAAAGCTGAGACTTGAACGAAGCTAACTCTGTATCCCCACGAAATCACAAAAAACCTGTATGACCACACACGCAAATAAAGGAAACGCAAAATCAACCTCGAAAAACAGATCCTGAAACTTCAGGCCCCAGTAGAGGGGCAAGCAGCGACTGAACTTGCACAAGGAGCAGAGGGACAAACACAAAGGCGAGGATTTGTGCGACCTGACCGATCAACGTTCGAAGCCGGCCGGCTATATTAAATACATTATAAAGTTACTTCATATGCTGAGTGATTGATAAATATGTTTTAAAACTTTGTTAACCAACTGTTCACTACTTTTACTGAGCACGGAAAATGACAATAAATAAACTTTCCTAGATGGAATTATAACACAGTTACTATGGTTGCTGCCTCGTGTATCAGACATATTTTCTTACCGAAAACAAACAACTGTTTTGAAAATTGCTCCGAATGACCTGTAATAAGACATTTCCCTCCGGAGCTGTCTCGGTTGCGTGATGTTGACGTTGACGTTGAGTGTAATTGGTTCGCTCCTTTCATTCAGTCATGTTATCACAAAGTCCACATCAGGCGTCTACATTGAAGCAATCTTGTTGTTGTGTGTCTCTATTTTTTGGGGGGGAGGGGGGGTAACTATTTTTAGTCGAAATTTACTTGCATGGTCTGCAGAGCCACGTGGAGACAGAGACAACCGTAAAGACAAACAAAAAAATGGTTCTAAAAAATCATTTTCGTGTGAATGGCCGTGGTCAACACATCGCTCAAAGCCTTTCCGACATGGCCAGCAAACAGGGATCACTACGTCTGGGACGGGAACAATATTTTTCAGAAGGGATCATTATAGTTTTTGAAATCGTAGATCATAAAATATGGATGAAAATTGGGATCATTATGTAACCCACATACCTCGTTATGACCCTGCTAGGAACTGACTTAGTAGGGTGTCCATGTATGACCTTAAAGATTTGATACTTACCAAGACAACAACAACAAAAAGAAAAGAAAATCCAAGCT